GTGTGCGACGGCATGGAGGTTGAGCACTGCTGCAACGCAGGCTGACGCAGGCCAAATGCGTTTACCAAGCTTCGAGAAATGCATTTGGGCTCGGTTTGAAGTTCCGGAGGTGAATTACAGCCCGGGACTGGGAGCAGGAGGGGCGTTAGCAAGGCTGAGAAAGCTGTAAAATGCGGTTTTCAAGGCTTGGACAATGCATTTGGGGCTGTTGGAGACCAAAGTAAAGCGTGTGCAGCAGGATTTTCGGGTTTAGCGACGGCATGGAGGTTTAGCACTGCTGCAACGCAGGCCAAGAGCGTTTACCAGGCTTCGGGAAATGCATTTGGGCTCGATTTGAAAGCGTGAATTACAGCCCGGGACTGGGACCAGGAGGGGCATTAGCAAGGCTAAAAAAGCTGTAAACTGCGGTTTTCAAGGCCTGGACAATGCATTTGGGGCCGTTGGATACCAAAATGAAGCGTGTGCAGCAGGATTTTCGGGTTTAGCGACGGCATGGAGGTTTAGCACTGCTGCAACGCAGGCCAAATGCGTTCTGCAAAATGCGCTTGTCAAGGCTTGGACTACGCATTTGGGGCCGTTGGAGACTGAAGTGAAGCGTGTGCAGCGGGCTTTTCGGGTTTAGCGACGGCATGGAGGTTGAGCACTGCTGCAACGCAGGCCAAATGCGTTCTGCAAAATGCGCTTGTCAAGGCTTGGACTACGCAATTGGGGGCGTTGGATACCAAAGTAAAGCGTGTGCAGCAGGATTTTCGGGTTTAGCGACGGCATGGAGGTTGAGCACTGCTGCAACGCAGGCCAAATGCGTTGCAGGCTTCGGGAAATGCATTTGGGCTCGCTTTGAAGCTTCGGGCGCTGAATTACAGCCCGGGACATTTCCCGAGGCTTGCTAAACGCATTTGGCCTGCGTTACCGCAGTGCTCAACCTCCATGCCGTCGCTAAACCCGAAAATCCTGCTGCACACGCTTCACTTTGGTATGCAACGGCCCCAAATGCATTGTCCAAGCCTTGAAAACCACTTTTTACAGCTTTCTTAGCCTTGCTAATGCATTTGGGCTCGGTCTGAAGCTTCGGAGCTGAATTACAGCACGGGACTGGGACCAGGAGGGCCGTTAGCAAGGCTGAGAAAGCTGTAAAATGCGGTTTTCAAGGCTTGGACAGTGCGTTTGGGGCTGTTGGAGACCAAAGTAAAGCGTGTGCAGCAGGATATTCGGGTTTAGCGACGGCATGGAGGTTTAGCACTGCTGCAACGCAGGCCAAATGCGTTTAAGGCCTCAGGAAATGCATTTAGGCTCGGTTTGAAGCTTCCGGAGGTGAATTACAGCCCGGGACTGGGACCAGGAGGGGCATTAGCAAGGCTAAGAAGGCTGTAAAATGCGGTTTTCAAGGCTTGGACAGTGCGTTTGGGGCCGTTGGATACCAAAGTAAAGCGTGTGCAGCAGGATTTTCGGGTTTTGCGACGGCATGGAGGTTGAGCACTGCTGCAACGCAGGCCAAATGCGTTACCAGGCTTCGGGAAATGCATTTGGGCTCGATTTGAAGCTTCCGGAGGTGAATTACAGCCCGGGACTGGGGCCAGGAGGGGCATTAGCAAGGCTGAGAAAGTTGTAAAATGTAGTTTCCAAGGCTTGGACAATGCGTTTGGGGCTGTTGGAAGCCACAAAGTAAATCGTGCGCAATAGGTTTTTCAAATTCAGTGCGCTTAACCGGGCATAGGGAAACGCATTTGGGCTCGCTTTGCAGCTTCGGGCGCTGAATTACAGCCCGGGACTGGGACCAGGAAGGGCATTAGCAAGGCTAAGAAAGCAGTAAAACGCGGTTTCCAAGGCTTGGACAATGCGTTTGGGGCTGTTGGATACCAAAATGAAGCGTGTGCAGCATTATTTTCGGGTTTAGCGACAGCATGGAGGTTGAGCACTGCTGCAACGCAGGCCAAGTGCGTTGAGCAGGCCTCGCGAAATTCATTTGGGCTCGGTCTGAAGCTTCGGAGCTGAATTACAAGCCGGGAGTGGGAGCAGGAGGGGCATTAGCAAGGCTGAGAAAGCTGTAAAATGCGGTTTTCAATTCTCGTACAATGTATTGGGGCTGTTGGAGACGAAAGTAAAGCATGTGCAGCAGGATTTTCGGTACCGCTCCGGAACTTGCCGGAAGAACTTGCCCCGCAACATCACCGGAACCTGCTGCCAAACCTCACCGAAACCTGCCCCGGAACCGCTCCGGAACCTGCCGGAACCTGCCCCCTTCCCCCGCAACATCACCGGAACTTGCTTCGGAACCTCGCTGGAACCTGCCCGGAACCTGCCGGAACCTGCCCCGGAACTTGCCCCGCAACATCACCGGAACTTGCTTCGGAACCTCGCCGGAACCTCGCCGGAACCTGCCGGAACATGCCTCGCCGGAACCTGCCGGAACTTGCCCCGCAACATCACCGAACTTGCTTCGGAACCGCGCCAGAACCTGCCCGGAACCTTCCCGGAACCTGCCGGAACCTGCCCCGGAACTTGCCCTGCAACATCACCGGAACCTGCTTTGGACCTCACCGGAACCTGGGCCCGAACTTCCCCTGCAACATCACCGGAACCTGCTTCGGAACATGGCCGGAACCTGCCGGAACTTGCCTCGCCGGAACCTGCCGGAACTTGCCCCGCAACATCACCGAACTTGCTTCGGAACCTCGCCAGAACCTGCCCGGAACCTTCCCGGAACCTGCCGGAACCTGCCCCAGAACTTGCCCCGCACCATCACCGGAACCTGCTTCGGAACCTCACCGGAACCTGCCGGAACCTGCCCCGAACTTCCCCCGCAACATCACCGGAACCTGCTTCGGAACATGCCCTGGCACGGCTCCGGAACCTGCCGGAACCTGCCGGAAGCTGTGCCGGAACTTGCCCCGCAACATCACTAGAACTTGCTTCGGAACCTCACCATAACCTGCCGAAACCTGCCCCCGAACCGCTCCGGAACCTGCCCCGACCTTCCCCCGCAACATCACCGGAACTTGCTTCGGAGCCCGGAACCTCCCCGGAACCTGCCGGAACCTGCCCGGAACCGGAACCTCCCCGGAACCTGCCCCGAAACTTGCCCCGCAACAACACCGGAACCTGCAACCTCGCCGGAACCTCCCCGGAACCTGCCAATCTGCCCCAAACCTTATCTCGGCTAAAGAACCCAAAGCTTACGCTGTTGGGGAAAAAGCACCTTGCGTGTTGATTTGGTGCGTTCTTGCACTATCTGTAGAAAGCGCAGCCCCTGATGCAAGCGTGAAGCCTGCATGCCATGGCATGGGAGGGTCAGCAAGCAGTGCGAGAGGGTTAACATTATTGCAGGGGGGAGGAGGGCGGGGAAAGGGGCGGACGCAGGGGGGGCTGGGGGAGATTAACCCGCTTTACAACCAGAATCCCTACTTTACAACCAGAATCCCCACTTTACAACCACAGACACTGTTTTCCGTGTGAGAATCCCCACTTTACAACTGCCGATCGTGAGAACGCCCACTTTGCAACCCGTCTACACATGATTAAGACTTATTGAGATGTCATGAGTTTTTACAACAAACCTACCTAGATTCCTATTAGTTTGTTGGTTCTTTGACCCCCTGAAGTGTTTTACGTGGCCTTCATCCGACCGTGGCCCCAAACTACTAAGATCTCGAACGTCGCTAAAATTGCTTGGTCGCATGATATCTTTGATCTTTGTCGTCTGTGGGTGCTTCTGTGCGCCTGGCTGGACGCAAAGCAGTAGTTGAGGGCTGCTCCGGATTATATGCACCCGAACCCTTGTTTAGAATATGCACCCGAACCCTACGCTTTAAACCCTTGTAAAGCCACTAGGTTTAGAATATGCACCCGAACCGTACGCCTGAAACCCTAAGCCCTAAACCCTCGTAAAGCCACTAGGTTTAGAATATGCACCCGAACCTACGCCTTAAACCCTAAGCCCTAAACCCTCGTAAAGCCACTAGGTTTAGAATATGCACCCGAACCCTACGCCTTAAACCCTAAGCCCTAAACCCTCGTAAAGCCACTAGGTTTAGGAATTTGGTTATATTTTATTATGTGCTCCGCACTCCTAACCTTGCCTGTGCTGGGTTGGTGGGTTGGGTTTCTAAGAGTCATATTATCTGTATGATTTCCACAATACAAGCACACAAAAAAGGAAAATCAATTTTTGAAAGTACTTGTATGGTGTAAAACCGTAAGTACAACATCAAATGTAATAAAATGTTCGGGTTCATGTACTGGCTTTAATATAAATACACACATATATATATATATATATAAACTAGAGAATGCATTTCTTTCTGCTTTCCCCAATACAAACACACTCGGTCCGAGTTTGCCTGCAGGGAGTGAGTTGGATACAGCTTGACGGCCGCAAGTGCGCAAAGTGCAAACCACTATGCAACAACACGCTCGCTGAGGTGAGCATCTAAACAGTATCATCGATACCAAACCCTCATGCATCTAAATATATATATATATATGTACACACACATATCTATCGTGGTTTCGGGTTAAGAACGCCCACATTGCAACCAACATCACTTTCCAACCTGCATGGTTGCCGTAAAGGATGATGCTAGAGATTCTAGGCTTTGACGTTATCAGTTAATAGGGTTGTTAAGAAGCTTTCCCAACCGGTTGCAAAGTGGGGCTTCCGGAAAGGCTCATGGGTTGTAAAGTGGGAGTTCTGGTTGTAAAGTGGGGATTCTGGTTGTAAAGCGGGGTACACGCGGGGGCTGGGGGGCCGGGCGGCCCGTCCGATTAGGCAGGTTTTTGGAACCTGGATCATTGGCAAAACCATTAAGAAGTGGGGAACACAGAGAATCTTTATAAGAACCTTTGACCGCTTCGGCCGGGGCCGAGGCGAATATGCTTGTGCATGGCAAATCTGTCCCGGTCGTTCCAAAGACGTCGTCGTGGTAACATGTTCGATCGCACTTGCTCGAGTCGTAGTCGTGTGTGGGTTGCCGGCTTGGAAACTTTCGGTACCGTCAGCTAAGGAAGGTGTTGCGGGAATTTGCGTATTTCACTCGCATTTCGGACGAAGATTTAGAAAAGGAGCGGAAAGTTGTCCTCGAGGACCGACTTGCGTAAGTCGCAAGATGCCGCCAAGATGCAAAAATGGCCCTGATGCTCTTTGGAGGAATGGCGCGAAAGCAGGAATGCCCAGGGTCGCCTCAGTGAGCGGTACATCCAGGCCGCATGAATTGACGGTGGGTGCTGTGGGTTGCAAGGCTTTGTGCTTCTTGGCCAGGCGCTTTGTGGTCCTGGTTGCAGATATTGTGAACGACTTCCAATCGGGAAGCTTGGAGCATGCAGATTAGAAGGCAAAGGTTGGAAGTGTTTCGCTGCCAAGGAAAGAACACATCATCCGGGCAGTGTCATCCCAAACTCTTCGACAATTCTATCAAAAGCGGCTTGGACCCAATCTGCGGCGGATGGATTGACATTGGCTTCCGTCCACTGTCCTTGCCACAGTCCTTGATGCAGTGTTTTGGTCGAAGGTTCTACCATCCAGCACGTATGGCTCTAGTTGCCGTGGGTGACTTCGATGCACGTTTTGTGGAGATGCGAATCAAGGACAGAAGAATGGAAAGACTGCAGCTGGTCGTGTTGTGTTGAGCAGTTTTTCTGCAAGGAGCTCTTCGACATTCCTCCCGAGGACTCGTGATTCCCACTTTGAACGGTGCAGTCAGCAATTCCCGTGCCTCGTTGCCGAGGACATCTCTCCACTGCCCCGATGCCCAGTGTCTGCAGCACCTGAGCGTCCGAGGCACATTGGCGGCTTCGGTGTGCAGAAAGCATGGGTGGGAAATGAGGGAGAAGTGCCGGCAAGAAGGAGGGCGAGTCGCAGAGAAACGAGAAGGGAAGGAAGTCGCAGTCGACAGCAAGCCCCGAAGAGTCGGGATTCGGCAGAGCACACCTTGCGAGGGCTTGCGAGCGGGCTGGGGCGCTTTTTGCTGAGACGCTGTACACGCTAATCGCTGAGTCTGGCAGGTACACCGTGCCAAACTCTCAGGGCGTCCGGGGCTCAGCCTGGCAGGTCAATGGGCTAAACGATGTTGTGTTTCACTTGTGTTTCCAGAGCGAGGTTCGTGTGGCTAGCAGCACAGACCCGGAGCTCAGTTTTGCGCAGAGACTTGGCTATGTGGCATCGCATGTTATCTCATCCTTGCAAGGGCGGAGCTTAGGAGCATGATCGATTGCAAACGGCCGCGTCTTCTGACCTGTTGAGTTCCTGGTTTTGAGTTGCTTGTCCAGCGCGTCTTTGTAGGAAGGCAGCAAGGTACTTGAAAGTGCTCCTGTGGGTTTGGGGAATCCTGTGCGTGAATCGTAGTAGGATGTTGGGTTCAATGCCCCTTCACTCTGTGGCTGTGCGGATGCGCCCGGGATTCCGTTCCCTCAATAGCTTCATGGGCATCCGTCCCGTTTGTGTGAATGTTGACTTTGTGCGATGGTGCTATGACATCAATGAGCTGTGAAGGATGTCATGTGCAAAGACTCGCGACCCCACACCACCCTCATCCTGGCGTGTGGCATTTTGCGGAGACGTCGAAGCGAGATCAAGGGCCAGAAGCCGCAAAAGTCACAAGGATCGCAACACTAGACCACCCGCTGTCGGAATTGTGGAGACTCACAATGAGATTAAGATCCAGACGCGATACTTCGGGTTTGCCGCCTGCGGGATCTGCGTGACGATTTTGGGCCAGGATTTTGGGCCAGGACTCCTCGTACATAAATGCTGTCTTTCTTAGATTTTCATATCATGGCGACCTCAACCAGCAGTGATATCACCCCGACAGCTTCAAAGGGTCGATGGTCGCAGGCATGGGGCGGTGTCGGATGACAAACGATGGTACATGAGCCCGTGCCACAGGGGGGAGCGCGGAAGTAGGGCACCAAGCCCATCCCACATCCACCTGGGGGAATTGAACAAAGCGGATTGAACCCAAAACGCATTCACAACTTTCATACAAAAAGGAGCGAAGAACACAGCGCATCCACAGGGGCAGGGGGCCTTGAAAACCATAAGCACCCAGTGTCGAAAGCCAATCTCCGGAGCCCATGTAAGCTGCAGTATTGTGATCTGGTCTGTCGTGGCAGGTATGCCCGTCCGCTTTGTCCGTGATGTTCGCCGGCGGATGACGGAGCGATGGCAACAAAAATAGAAGTCCTGAGTGCACGATGAGCCGTGAGTGGTCATCGTGGTCCCGCCTGCGCAGATGTTCCCGGCCTAAGGAAGACCTTTTCCACCGTGCCTTCAGTGCAAGGTTGCTGAGGCTGACGTTGCAAGGCCCTTTGGAAGGAGAGGGGGCAGGGAGGGTTTGGAGGGGGCGTGGGGGGGGCGTTTCAGGCCCTGTTGAGCTGACGAGGAGGTCCGCGGGACTTCTTCTCTGCGGGCACAGACACGTCGGACCCTTTGCCAGCCCTGAGCCTTGGAACGAATTTGGTTGGGGGCCTCGGCCGACTTTCGGAGACTCGCCTGACAGGAGCCCACTGAGCGCGAGCCTGGCCCCCTTGCCGGGCCGCGTTCGCCCAGCTATCGCCAGCTTGCTCAGGCCGCGTGACGGGCCTTGACAGAGACCCTGTGTCGATCGCACCTGCAGGGAGCTCGAGCGCATTCGCCGATTTGGCTTTCACAACGCGGAGGCCGCATTGGTCAGCGTTGCTGTAGCTTCGCTCTCTACGACCGGTTTGGCCGTGGCCCGGTGCATCCGCTTGCAGGGGCGCAGCAGTCAAGCTGCGGTTGTCTGCGGTTCTCAGGTAAACGCTCTTGCATAGCATGATTATTGGCGATTGTCCTCAACTGACCCATTGAGGGCTGTCTCAATTAATTCTCTCGAAAATTTGAAGTGAATCTCGACTGGTGCTGAGCGTCGGATTGTGTTGTTCACTGTTGTTCGTTCTGCTGCGCAGGTGCTGCGGGCGAAACGATCTATGCTTGCAGAGTTCGAGGAGGTGGATGACGGTGGATGTGAGGGGAGAGAGTCTTGAAGGGGAGCCAATTTTCGAAGATTTCTGGAGGAGAGCCCGAGAGCCTTGAAACCCGCGACCCCAGCAACAAATCTACGCCACAAGAGGAAACTCTCGAGCATCACTATGCAAATTTACCTTGGCCCCCTTCGTTGAGCCGGCAATGGGACAGAGAAACCAAATGTCAGTTTCAAACACACTCTGACGGAAGATAAGAGCGAGGGACAGCTTTGATTTCCTGCTGCTGAAGGAGTACATTGAGCGTGAGCAGCGGCCATCCGACGGCTTTGCAGAAGAGCTGACTAGCTTGTTTTTGGACGAGGAGTGTCCATGCTGGACCCAGCCTTGTCATCACTGTAATCTGGAAGAGAAGTCCATATGTGCTCTGAGGACCATGCTCCTGGCGTGGAGGATCGTGCACGCTTGGCGTCGGTCTTGCTGCCCCGAATATCCAGCGAGGAGGCAACAGGTGTTGAGCGCAACAGATCTTTTCTCATTCTGGTGCTGGGCTGGCTTTTCCGGGTAGCTGCACCACAATCACGCAATTTTACCGAAACCGAAAAAGCATGCATCCAGGCAGTCACATGTCGCAGGTGTCAAACATTTCCAAGTTGTATATCTTCGAGGACAACGTCGTGGTGAAAATTGCTTCTCCATGGCAAGAATTCAATGTGCCGGGCATTACCGGGCCACATCCTATCGCTTGCAGTTGTTGTCTCGCGGATGGCAGGGGCTTCGCTGCAGCAAGCTTTGCATAGGACGGTACGGTTGTGCTGCGAGCGCTGAGGCCACCCCGTTGATGTCTCTTCGAAGTCCAGCATATACTGCGTGGAGTACTTTGCAGGCCTGAGAAGATCCAATTGCATGCGTCCCTTGCAGACAAACAGCACCAAGCGTTCGGAGGCAACGGGTGCAGAGGGTCAGTAATGCTGAAAGCAAAAAGCTTGTGAGCTTGTCTGGGCAACGCTTTGCGACTACAATGTGCAGTCCAGCTTCAAAATCCTGTCAATGTAGCTTTGTTTTGACACGGCTCATGCAGCAACATGCGGCACACGTTGTCGGAGAGGCAGTCAATGCACAACTAGCACACCAAACAGGCATGTCGCCTCCGTAACTGGCAACATAGCATTGACCCGTTGCCACGGCTGGCGGGGGGGCACGGCGAACCGACATTGTGCGGACGCACTGGTTTAAAAACCAAATACGCGAAGATGCATTTGCAGGTGCGGACACATTTGTTTGGGCGAAGACGCATGCGCGGAGGCATTGAGGGAAGCGACGACGTGTTTCGAAGACGCATTGGCAGGCGCATATGCATGCTGAAGGCGGGTTGGGGGGAGAAGACGCATTGCGGCGAGGCTTCATGAGACGAACACAACATGCGCAGATTTTGTTCTTGCAGTCATCGGTCCAACGCTTCGGAAGCTCCGGGTTGATATAAAGTTCATGGGTGCCCCTGCATCCCTGCAGTTCAAGATTGCTACGGGTTCCGAATGGAGTTTCGCGCCGGAAGGCGCTTGGAAGGGGGGTCACTTGTGTGTTTTTTTGGGTTCACTTGTGTCTTTTTTTTGGGGGTCACTTGTGTCTTTTATTTGCTTCGGAAGCAACAGTCTCGAACGAGAGGTGTCTTGGTAGGACCTGACCCCGAACGAAACCCTGATGAAACAAGGCCCTACCCCTAAGAGGGGTAAACCCAGAACGAAACGCTAATGAAAGAAGGCCCAACCCCTAAGAGGAGTAATCGGCCCAACCCCTAAGAGGAGTAAACCCAGAACGAAACCTTAAAAAGAGTCAACCCAGAACGAAACCCTAATGAAAGAAGGCCCAACCCCTAAGAGGAGTAAACCCAGACGAAACCCTAAAGGAGTAAGCCCAGAACGAAGCCCAACCCCTAAGAATCACGAGTGCTTGGTGACACGTGCCAGCGGTGTAGTTAACGAACGAAGGACCAGGATTGCTACAGACCTTGCCAGGCTTTGTCCGAGTGTGAGTGTCAAAAAAAGAGGAGTAAACCCAGAAGGAAACCCGAAAAGGAGCAAACCCAGAACGAAACCCTAATGAAAGAAGGCCCAGCCCCTAAGAGGAGTAAACCCAGAACGAAGCCGCTTCCCCTAAAAGGAGTAAACCCAGAACGAAACCGTAAATTTTTGAAAGGAGTAAACCCAGAACGAAACCCTAATGAAAGAAGGCCCAACCCCAAAGAGGAGTAAACCCAGAACGAAACCCTAAAAGAGTAAACCCAGAATGAAAACCTAATGAAAGAAGGCCTAACCCCTAAGAGGAGTAAACCCAGAACGAAACCCTAAAAGGAGTAAACCCAGAACGAAATCCTAATGAAAGAAGGCCCAACCCCTAAGAGGAGTAAACCCAGAACGAAACCCTAAAAAGAGTAAACCCGGAACGAAACCCTAATGAAAGAAGGCCCAAGCCCTAAGAGGAATAAACCCAGAGCGAAACCCTAAAAGGGGTAAACTGTATATGTTAGTTGCATGTGTTTATGTGTACGTATATGTTTACATATAGGTAGACGTAGATGCGTACAATGTGCAATATACAATAAATATCTACACATGTTTAGACACCCCCTCGTAGAGTACGCATGCATGTCTATGTGCATGTGGACGCAGAAAGGGAGCAAGTTAATTGCCTTTGCACTTTATGTATACCGAGCCTGAAACTGAGCGGGGTGAGGTCCTACCAAGGCACCTCTCGTTCGAGACTGTTGCTTCCGAAGAAGGAAAAAGACAGAAGCGACGCCGAAAACAAGACACAAGCGACCCCAAAAAAAGACACAAGTGAACCCAAAAAAAGACAGAAGTGATCGGGCACCCGCGCTGTAAAGTTGAAGAATCTCGAAGATCCTCCATGTAATGTTAATCTGATTATGTAGATGAAACGCTACCGCCCATGACTTTGGCTCAAGCATGAGAAAAGGCGTTGCTAAGCTTCGTTTTTGCTTTCAGGGTCGGGGTTCCTTTTGGGGTTTCCCTTCCCTTCCTCGTTTCTCTAACCCCGACTTAGCGGTGTCTTATGGTGTCTTCGTCTGGGTTAACTGGTTATCAGCCGTAGTGTTCTTTCTCCTCTTTCGGTTTGGTGTAGATCTTCTGGGCGTAGCCTGATTCATGGATGCACCAGAGCCGGATCGCGGTCCGGAAGTTGCGAGGTTGCGATAGTTGATGCCAACCTGTGCATACGTAGACGCAGTTAGACACCATGGCGCCGCCCAAGAAGTACACGTCCATGCTGAGCCAGAAAAACGCAGAAAAGGTGGCTCACGCACAGCGGATCAGAAGCTCATCACACGCGAGGTTGGAAAAACTCACCATGGACCTTGCGGGCCTCCTCAGCACAGGCAGAAGTCGCATCAAGCTGGCGCTTGGCAGCAGCAGCCGACCAAGCGATCGCGTCGTCAAACTTCTTCTCCGTCTCCTCCCAAGCCGCACGAAGCGGCAGCAGCTCCAGCGAACAGCCCTTATCAGCAGCAGCATTCAGCGAGCGCGCAAAGCTCGCCGAGCAGCAGTCCCACTCCGGATGCCAGTTCAATCTCTTGTTGTGGCTAGGCACCCAAGCGATTTCGGCGACTCTCTCCAATCCCAGCGCGATGCTGCGCCAGAACACCTCCAAAGGTCCCCGCCAGTTGTTGTCGAGCCAGCCATTCTTCAGACGGAGCACACAAGGCCAGTTGTCGCAGAAGAGCCGCGCAGTGCACTGTGTCAAAGCAACGGCCCTGGGAGCTCTAAGAAGGGCCGCGCGCTCTCCAGCAGCAGGCGTCTGCTCGGCGTCACCAACCAAGCCAGACCACTCAACTCGCTCCTCACCGACTTGTGCGACGACGCACCACGCTGCACGCTGCCAGAGTTCCAGGCCAGGGCGAACCAAGCAACCACCATCTGTAGCAAACCAAACTGTTTGGCCGGCTGCAGCTGCAGAGCTACAGAGCCGAAGTACTCTCTCGTCGCAAGTCACGGGGCCCGAGCGAGGCACCTTAGCAGCAAGTGGAACAAGTTTCACCAGGAGTTCGCGCTCGTAGTGCTCTTCAGCGTCGAAGCTGTCAGCAGCAGCGGTGGCACGAGTCACAGGGCAGTCAAAGGTGAAGTGTGCTCGCGAAGGCTTCTCCAATCCACAAGCACAAACAAAAGTGTCAGCTCCCTGAATGAACGAAAGCAGAATCCCATCAATGGCGCATCCAGTCGCAACCCTCATGGCATCCCTTTGCCCAGAAGCAGCTAAGGCCTGAAGCGAATCCAGCACGACTGCACGGCGCCCCAGAGAGGAAGCACCTTGCGTCCTTGACTCGCCGTCCCAGAGTTCCTGCTGCCAGGCCTGCACGGCAGCGCGCCTCACGGCACCCAGAGTGTGGAAGCCTGGCTCAAAGGTGCCCACAAGTGTGTCCAAGACTCCTTGGTGGTAGGTCCACCCCCACCTGTGACACAAAGCTTTGAACTGACGGCCCGGCACCTGAAGACTCGAGTGCAGAAGTGAAGCTCGTTGTGCGCGCGTCCACTCGTGCCGAAGTGTAGAAAAAGCCAAAGCAAAGTCAACAGACGTTTCAGGCCTCCCGAGAGCAGCAAAGCCCAACAGTCGTGACCGTCCCTTTGGACGATTCCCACCCCAAATTGCGGCTTCAACGGCCGCCGTCCAAGTAGCAATGTGACATTTTGCTAGCTTCTGCCACGGCCCAGCCCACTCAAAGAGAGAGATCACGGTGGACCGAAGTAGCAACCGTCTGAGCGCCGGCTTTTTGGCAATCTTCGCAATGCGTTCACAACGAAGACGCAGCAGCTCCGTGACGGGGCCGACATCAGGAGCAGGCCCATTAGTCCCAATCCGATACTGGATGCCAAGAAGCTTGAACGAGGTGCAGGAAGGGCCCAGCAGCTCATTGTGCTGATCCAGTTTCCGCCGAACCCTGGCATTGGAACCGAAAGACGCTAGTTTGCCCGGGTGAACAACCATGCCAAAGTGTTCATCGACGGGTCTTCCTGCCTCCACAGCAGACGTCAGGGTGTTGACACCGGCCTCACCACGAGCCACGGACCACATTGTCCTGTCATCTAAATATACACGTAACCTGATGCTCGGGACAACTTTGTGGACCGCAGCGACCCACACAGCACTTGTCGCATTGACAAGAATGACTGAAAATGGACATCCCTGCTGAAGGCCGCGGGTGACACGAATCGGCTGTGGATCAGCTTGACCCGCGACCGAAAGGAACCTGCGCTGATCATCGTAGTAATCGCCAATGAGCTCGATCAAGGCACGAGGCATGCCCAGATGAGCGCAAACTGCCAACGCTTGGCGGGGCCTGATGTTGTCGAAGAAACGCTTCAGGTCAACTTTAACGCCCGCCAGTGCACCCTGACCATGAGCCGCAGCGTCCAAGTCAGTGAGTAAAGCATCATGGACACCCTGCACTCCACGACCAGGAAGCCCACCTTGAAGTTCCTCAGTCGCCCAGCTCAAAGTCCATGGTCTGAGTCGGCGGCAAACAGCAGAACCAAAAGCTCTCCACAGCACAGCCCCAATCGCCAAAGGACGGGAGCTGCCATCAGGTTTAGGCACCAATGAAATGCGAATATTCTTCCAAGCCAATGGCACACAGTGGGTAGTCAGCATGGCGCGCCAAAGCACAATCAGCTGGTCCCAGAAGTCGGAGGGAAGTAGCAGAAGTGCTGAAGCTGACCAGCCATCCATGCCAGTGGCCTTACGTCGACTGCGCTCAACAAAGCGGCGAACCTCTGCAGCAGTGACGTGG